GAAGAGCACAATGTTCGAATTTGCCATCTCTGCGACTCTTAAACGCTTCTTTTCTTGAAGTTTAGTTGCATGCTCGCTTCGGTTTTCGCGGTGGTTGAATCGGCCCTCATCATCGTTACGCCATCGAAACAAAGCGCCACTGTTTTAATACGTCTAGCTTCACGTAAAAATTCAGCCACTCCTGCTGCCGCAGATCTGTACGACACCACTCGTACGCGATAATCCTATGCCTACGCCATTTTTACAGAGCCTATCGCCGCGCAGTGTCCTCCGTTGCTTCACCACGAACGCGGCTACTTCTCATCAGAGTCGCTCTTACACGGGTTGCGAGCTCCATGATAATGACGGGTGTGCTGCAGGACGAAAAAAATCCCGTCATCGCAGTTGAGACTGGAGTTCTACAAGACAGGTCCAATCTCAGACATCTTTGCAATTGATGCAATCGTGTCCATGGACAGTTGACCATCTCGAAAAGTGTAAGAGCAATGCTGTGTCTGTAGTCATTTGTTTCCATGCGTCACCTTGGGCTAATCGTAAGCTTCCTCCCACACTCATGTCCTCGCTTTCTTGGCCCGTGTGCTGACAGTATCATTGCTACAGTTAATCTCTACAGACTGAAATGATAACGACCATTAATCACAAATTTCGTAACATCTACGCCGGCCATAATCCCCCGCCCCTCCCCGTGCTGTTGCCTGTACCTACAATATCGGTCCATCTGCCAAAAGGCAGCACCGCTTCGGCGACGTTGTTCCGATTCTAACTCACAAGGCATGAGGTTGACTCAAACTACGACTCTGAGCGACTCAGCGGAGCTTTGAGTCAACACCGATCCCCCATCAAGGACACGTGATACAACTGTGTAATCGAGTGCGACGGAGTCAACACCGGTGGCAGCAGTTTAGGAGACGTCTCGAGCAAAAGTGTTCATTAAAACCTGGGTAGAGCATCTGTTTTGATGGTGTAGTACGGTATAACTGTGTTCCATTTGGTGCACCTATTAGCTATCACGCTACGTATTTATCCATAGCGTGGTCCATATTTCAACTTCTATTTAAGTGCGCCAACCTGCGACTTGGTTGACTCAATTCTGGGATTGGCTCACAATAAAATATCAAAGGAGTCGATTTCGCCCTTACTCAGCGACCACCTAGGTGATTTCGAGCTCAGTTTCGGCCCCACCCAATGTCACACACAAGTTCTTGTTTCTTGACTGTTTCGAAAAATGCACGGTACGTAAGCGGCAGGAAAGCAAGGCTAGAAAGTGACCATCGGGGACGAATATTGTTTTTGGAGGCGCTCATAACCACTGTTGAAAACGATACTGGTCCTGGAAATTGGGCTCAGTTATGTGTCAGACGCCGTGATGCGTGGTGCCATTCCCACGCTGAGATGTCCACCGCGCTCGCTCATAGTAAGACGTGATGAGACGGTTGCAACATTCCGAGCCAACTGATAATCTCAGAATCAAGCCATGTCATGCATCAGCGTCATTCAATCTGACGTCACTGGAGAGCAAGATTGAACTTTGTTTCTTCGGGCAATTAAACCAGCTTCACCTTAAACATTTTCCCACTAGCAAAGACACGATCAACTTGAAACGGTTGACAATAGACAAAAATCAGCCTGCTGTGAGCATAAAATTAGAGTCGGAGATACGGTGGCCGGTCAATGATCAAATCAGTCGCCGGTTTATGAATAGATCGTGGGAAGTCGGGGGTGTTGCGAATGTGCTACGAGTTGAGGCAAAGTGTAGAGAGCGAAATGACGGACCGTTGACTTGTGTTGCACTTGCTCGAAGTCCATTTACGAGATGGTTTACTAGGTCTCCGGTTCCCTTACAAACGTTCGGTTGGTTCGATCCGTTACAACACCATGACATTCTTTCTAACTCAAACCCCTTTGCCCGCTCCGATATTATTGATTTACCGTGTGCACTCTCTTCGATGCTCTACCCCTTTTTCAGTACTGGGACGCTGAAGTAATTCTCTCGACCTCAAGATGTTAGAATCAGTGCATATGAAGCCAAAACGCTGCCATAAATATCATGAGGTTTTGCATATGCACTGCAACTTATCATGCTGTCTTTGTTGCGTGCGGCGTCTAAAAGATCTTTCATTATGTGGTATGCATTTTGCAAGTTATTTCATTTACGCCCAGAAAAATTGTGTTGCATAAACATGTGTAGGTATATGTGTATATGCCCTCTCTCTCTCTCTTCTCTCTCTCTCTCTCTCTCTCTCTCTCTCTCTCTCTCTCTCTCTCTCTCTCTCTCTCTTCTCTCTCTCTCTCTCTCTCTCTCCTCCTCCTCCTCCCCACACCCTCCCTACCATTTTCTCTTTGTAGTAGGGCTCTCTTCTTTCGAGAAAGTTTTGAGCAAATGCTTCGGATTGCTAGTTGCGTCACAGCACCGTGTTCTGCGATAGGTGGATGACAGCCTATGATGCAGATCTTTGTGTGCCGCGCAATCTGCCGATCGCAGCGGAAAACCGTACATCACGGCCAAATATTTCCGCCAATATGCTATTTGTCAGGCGGCCTGAGCTGTGCTCCACCTGCATGTACTACGCCAGCAGTATTAAGGCGGCGGCGCAGCGGTGTCCCGTTGGAAGTTCTGCTGATGGCGCACGTGTTCCTGTTCCAGTTCAGTTGGCTCCTGTTTGTGGCTCCTGTTTTCAGCTGGCTCCGCGTGCTCCTGTTTCAGTTCATCTGACAGCGCACGCGTTCGTGTTTTAGTTCGGCTGACATGCGCGTGTTCCTGTTTCAGTTCACCTGACAGGGCACGTGTTCCCGTTTCAGTTCAGCTGATACCCGCGTGTTCATGTTTCAGTTCGTCAGCGTCGACGCACGTCATCCGAGCGCCATGGATCCGCTCACAACAGCGGCAGGTGAGTTGCCTGTCGTTGGGGACTTAAGACGCATTCAGGTGAGGAGGCTACATGACGTCGCCTGCCTCTCAACCGGCAGGAAGAACGAGCACCGCGGGAAATCGAACCCCGCACCTCTGGTTTCTCAGACCAAAGGCAAGGGGTTCGATTTCCCGTGGTGCTCGTCCCTCTGGTCTGGCAACTGACCTGGTGTCGTGGTCAGAGGGTCGGTGTAGAGCCACTGCGACGTCGGCGGAAGGACAGTAGGGACGGGAGTGGTCACGAGCGACCTGACCCGAGGTCGTGGCCGGATGGTCGATGTAGAGCGGACTGAGACGCCGGTGGAGGGCGATTTATACCAAACCGCGACGCCGGCGGGGCGGCAGTGGGCACAGGAGGGATCGCGGGTGAGTGGTGGTGAGACAAGTTATCGTGGCAAAGGTACAGAAGTGAGCGGTTTTTAATCCAAAATATCAAATGCGGTTCATATCAGTGAAAGTTCGTGTGTCCTTCGCCACACCTGCAATGCCCTATTCTCCACACTGGAAGGAAACGGGTACTCACAGGTAACTTCCCCAGCGAATGACATTTGCGTGGGTTTATAATCTTGCACCACGCCACATACATGATGTCCGTGATGCTGTGCGGGACTTTGCATTTATCTATATGTTTGTTTTTCTAACGATGCAACATCGTTATCCCAACCGTAGGCCTTTTGCTGGCAAGTTTGAGCTTTGATGAACCGGGGCGTGACCAGAGTGCGAACAAATTGCCAGTGCAACACTTGTTGGACTGGCAAGGGCCTACACCAGGCGAGGACGACATTCCAAAATATCGGGGGTCCTCCGCTAAATAAATGTGATGGCGCATAATGCCAAGGGCGGCCGGGCCCGCATCTCGCAAACGTACTAACAAAACACATGACATGACATAAAACATAAAAGAGCTTTGACATAAACATAAAACAGCATTGACATAAAACGGCGTTGCTCCAACGATTGTTCAGAGGCTGCGTTGTCTCTAATACCTATGGCATGACACGGTCGTATGTACCAAAGATCTTCGTAAGTTTTACGGCAGGGAAGCATGGGGAGGATGTAATGTATTGGATGGATTGGATTGCACATGGATTCCATTGCATCTGATTCGTTCAAGTAAGAGAGCATGTCTAAATTTGTTGGTCACCTTTTAGGCTAGTCTTTAAGAGATAGTGCACGCTGAGTAAAACGGACCGAACATTCATATCATCAACAGCGTATTTGCTTAACGAGGCGTTGGTGCAGTCCAAGTTTTCCACGAATGCATTCCAAGTTTGCTCCTAACCACATACAGAACATGAAACAGCATAAGAGGACGTCCTTCTGCCACCATAGTTAATTACATCGTCCGACAGTTTTGTGCCGAGAGCCCTCAAATTCAACCGAAGACCAAATCCTAGTGACATTTCGTGGCTTCTCGTCGCGTCACAACTTGTCACCTGACAAACCGTACACACAATTTAAAAGTTTTCACGCAGAAGCATCTAAACCTATCAACCTAGCGCCCATGACTTCTCCGTAGCACTCACGTGCCTACTCTTCCCGCGTGTACAAACTTTACCCTTATTTTAACACATGCGTTGCTCGTGTCTAGCGGACACCGTTCCGGCGTCTTTTTGTGTACGTCTGCACTGCTGGGACCGCGTGCGAGCGTGCATCTGTGGCGAGCAGGCGGGGCGGACACGTCATCGCCGTGCTGTAATGAAGTGGGGCCGCACTCAATAACTGCCAGCCCAGCGTCACAACCGCCAGCGTCCGTAATTGGCCCAATGACGCGCCGCGTCAGGCTCCGCCTCCGCACGGCCGGCGACCAATCAGCGCCGTCTCGCCCCGGCTGGCATTAGCGGCGGCCAATGAGCGCGCGCGGCGGCCGGCGCCGGCGTGGGGGCGGGGTGAGCGGTGGGCGAGCATCAGCGAGCGCGCGCGCGCGGCGCGCGCGGCGCGCCAGACCCGCCCGGCGCTCGCGCTCGCCGCACGCTGTCGCTCCGTCCCGCCCGTGCCGCCACAGTGGAGGGGGACGGCCGACTACGCCACTCGATCGACATGCTGATCTCGGACACGGCGCCGACGGCGGCCGGCGCCGCGCCGCCCGCCGCCGCCTGGAAGGTGACGCCGCCGCGACCGGCCGCGGCGCTCCCCGTGCACCCGCTGCCTTCGACGCCCCACCCAGGTACGCCGCGACGCAGGCGCCGGACCGACGCTGGACGGTCACCACGTGTGTCCTGACGGAGTGGTGAGGCGGCTCAGTGGCCCCGGCCGGGGTGAGGGTGTGGGTACTGCGGGATGTTGGTGTGGTGCTGTTCAGAGATGTGGAGGGACTTTTGGCGTCATTTCCAGGACTGTTGTCCGTTGCAGGCATCATTAAGATTCCAACGTAGTTCTAGGTAGTGTTTCCACTTAGTTTTGCGCATGTTTTAGAGCATATATGTTTCGTTATGAGGCCCATTGGATGATAAGCACACATACGTTTCAAAATTATTATGGAAAAGTCATTTTAATTATTGTTCTGTCACAATGACACGAGCATGATTATCTCGTTGAAAATGGTCCAGCCTCTTATAAATGGGTTGTGGTTACATATTTCAAGTTTCGCCTTCCTGCACCTAACAGCAACAACTTGGCTATCTAAATTAAAAATCGCATATCGTGTATGAACGCCGCCACAACCTCTGCATAATGTCGATGAGACTTCTTTTCGATGTGGTTTCCATATTATCATCGCACCGTCACGCCTTCTGATTGCTGAGTTGACGCACGGTTTCGCACAGTACAGTTAACTTTTACGGACTGGCTGTGGTGTTTGCTTTAGTTGCGATCAACAACTAAATACGCCGTCGATGTTTTAGTGGCCCATAACGAGAGCGGGATCAAAAATCGCAGAAGGTATTTGGCTATCCAGAGTGTTTGAGCGAATTCAGTGAGTGACGCATTTGCCATCTTTCTCAATGCTTGAGGAAGGAGCGCTTTATTCCCCGTACCACCTGACAGCTTTGATCATTGCAAAGACAAAACTGAGCAAGAGCTTTGAAAGAGACGAATGTGCACTAGAATGTATATCACCCCGAAGGTGTGAATGTGATTAGAGTAGAAACATTCATGCCGTGGGTTCATTGCTGTCAGGTTAACGAAAACACTGACAATTGAAATGAATGCAATATATTTTAAGAGCAAATGTATGACACAAGAAAAATATGTCAAACGCACGAACAGCTTACCTCGTTAAGGTACAGTACATGAAATGTCGCTCTACCTACACTCATTTTGAAGCTCTCTTTTACCCTTTGATTGGAGGAAAACGCTCATCTTATCTAATGACACGAAAGGCTGTAGGAAAAAAAGGTGGGTGACACGAAACCTTAAAGCTCCATTTTCACCACCAATCAGACCAGGACACGTGTGATATTTCTCCCTGCACTAAAAATCTGGTCTCCGTTCTAATCGGGCAGTGATGTTTGTACGGTTTTTATCCTAACCAGAATGTATCAAAGATTCATGAGAGCCTACTAGTCCGCATGGAAACCGTGGCCGAGGTGCACCCACAGACAACGGCTGGACTGGCAGTAAGCGATCCCCCAGGGCAGGGCTAACGATAAAGCGCGCCCAAACTTGGTCATTTGTTGGCAGAAGAGGCGTGTCGATGCCTTATCGAAACCGGAAAGCAGTATACTAAGTGGGAAATCAGTGTTAATTAAACAGATTAGAGATGACCGGCCGGTGTAACCGTCATCGACTCTGCAAATACCAATGTCTGCACAATCGGCTAACAGAGAGCCGTCGCGCTGGTATCGGCTTGATCTCGACGGGTGCGCCGGCGGCCACGGCTCGCCGCGGTGGCGACCCACCGGCTCCACCGGCCCACATCCCACCCCGTCCACGCTGGGCAGGGGGCGAGCCGCGCGAGGCTGAGCAGGGGGTGTCAGTGCTGTCCGTTGCTGTCCGCGCCACGTGCCACGGATTTGTCAAAACTGCGCTGGCAGGCCGCCACGGACATACTAAACATGGCCTCGTAGGCCAGTGTGCCAAAAATCGTCTCAGTGAAAAGTGCCGTGGAGTCCGAAGTATCGTTGCCGATGCCCCGAAAGAAACCAAAATCGAAAAAAGCATGACAAGGTCATGAATAGGAGATCGAAATCACGAAGGTTCCAAATTTGGGAGCCTGAAGTCGTCTGTAAGAGGCGTTATTTTCCATCCAGTCTTGAATCTTTATTAACACGCTGACGCACTCTCAACCCAAGCACCCTATCTGGTTTGCATGGTGACTTTTTGCTAACAGACGACTGCTAAGTAGTGTGCAACCACAGGTAGGGGATCATGTAGCGTTCAAATGGCCTATGTTCTTCATGTAGAAGGTCCTTCCTTCCTGTTGCCCACGGAAGCGATGGTACAAGCCATTATGCTTATCGCAATGATGATGATCTTAGGTGCTATGGATGCATTTGTCATGTATGTCACACATTCAAAATGCATAGGTTGGACCCAGTAAGTATGTGCTCTTGGAGCAACTTGTCAATCACAATTGCATCAAAATGCTCCTCCTTCAACAGTTGATTTGATGTTGTGGTTTGTCATCGCCTTGGTGTGCAATGCCCCTAACCAAACACAAATCCCAGAAATGTGCTGTAAGAAATGGAAACAAAGTTCGCAATAATGATGAGAGGCACCGCTCCGACCAAACACAATCTAAAGAATAGTCTCTTGAGCTTTACTCTGTTCTGAGAGACGCATCACAGAATTTTGACAGATTTCGGGATTCTGGGCTTTCTTCGCGCGTTGAAAGGTGCAACCAAACACATCGCAGGCGATGGCAGAGCACGATCACAGAAGAGGCCCGTCCGTCCCGAAAAGGCCCCGCTAGTCGGCTGTGTTGTGCGAGGCGTGTTCAGCGGCCTTGCCCGGCGGGCCCCGGCTCCCGTCAAAGGCCTTAAGTAAACCTCCCGCCCGACTTCAACAACAGCTTCTCACAACACAGACGTTTCCGTTATTTGTGCTCCTGGTGTGCCTGGCGCCGGGCGGTGTTGCCCGCGCTGGGCCGTGTTTCTCGATTACTGGTTAACAGCTGGAGCTAGACTGAAATTGGCCGTAAAACTCGGCGCTGGCTAATGCGTGGCACTTGTAGCTGGCGACGTGTTTACGTCCTCACTGCTGCCTACTGGTTTTAAGTTTCTCTGATTATTGTTGGTGCCGGCTCGGTCGTTGTTTTGTCTTATTTGACTATCACTGCCAGTTCGCGCACTTGGAATGGGGGATGTTTGAAGGAGAACGGCGCTGTGGACATTATGTTACAGGAAACATTTGGAGCGGAGCTCCACGAAATGCATTGGCCGGCCAAAGATCAGATCCCCAAAGCGTGGTGTTGTTGCTGGCTCTCAGTGGTCTCCTGTTCTTTTTGATGACTTTCCGGTGGTTTTGGTCCGATGTCGGGGAGCCTAAACGAAAACTCCGGAAGGACCACTTGTGTGATGTGCATATCTACTTTTAAACGCCGAAGGACGATCATGCCAGCCCCCTGATGCGATAATTATAAAGCAGACAGTGGATGAAAGCATTCATTTGCTTAGGTAGCCTAGACAGAGCGTTCATTTTAACACTGCAATCCGTAACATCTTAAACATAAATTATCTGATCGACGAAATAAGCATGATTGTACGACAATACCGTTGACGATACGAAATAAGCACGACCTACTAAACCATTGCATTTAGGTGATGCAAAACGTTTGTCACACATAAAAAGCATGCCTTGCATTAAGTCCAATAAAGGCATACCCTGCGATATTTTAAGCAATCCAACTTCAAAAGGTACGGCTTCTGACAATTGATATCCGTAGAATATTCCGAAAATAAAAAATGCTAGTGCTTTCATTTATGTCATAGCCGACGGACTAATGAAGCCTTGCTTGTCATATGCGTTTCACCAGAAACAGCGAATAATTATATTGGCGAAAGCGTAGCTTTGTTGGCGGAGCGACACTCGGCAACATGCGTCTCATCTGCATGGGGTTGATGTCCACTCATCCTAAGACCATCTCCTGCAAGCTACTGCCCAGCATCTCCCTGAGGCGGCTCTCGTGCTTGTTGCTTCTTTCCTCCCGCCTCCGGCGGCACCGCCGCCGTCGGGAGGCGTCACCCCTCGGCGGCGCGGCGCCATGGCGCGCCGGCTGTCGAGCGGCTGGGAGCGCTCGGGCGGGCCCAGCTCTGCGCACATCGGCCCGCGTCACCCACCATTGGTCACACTCGCCCGTTCCGCGGTGACATCCTTTGTCCGCTGACGTCTCCTTGGTGACGAAATTCGAGCCGCTTGTAATGAGGACTCTTCGCGCCGGCCACACAAAGCGCGCGGAATTTCCACGCGAGGCGTGAAGTCTATGCGTCGGGAGCTGGGCCGCCGCCGCGCACCCGATTAACAAGAGCTCTTCTCCGTCTTTGTGGAGCCTTCGGTCCAGAGAGTCATCGACGTCAGAAGTGCAGCCTGGTTAGCATCACGAGGATTCCCAAGAGGAGTTCGGCGCAGGGCTAAGGCAAAGCACACATGCGAGCACTGATGTGACAGTGCACTCGGGAGAAATTTCAACATTAGTCGCTTTTACCGGGCTGCTTGGACGGAATTTCGGGCTGTTGCTCGTGATGACAGGCTACGCTGTATATTATCACAATTCTAGATCAAGTTGAGTTTCAAACCGCAACGTCTACGATGTTTGCAGGGACCATGGCAACCGGCCATGGTCACGTTTAGGTTAATAAACACAGGCATTCTGTGGCCTTTACTATGGGCGCGTGACCATTTACAGTCGACGCGACCTAAAACTCCACTAATCATCCCCAGAAGCTCTTACCTGTCAGTATTGGCGCGAAACACACTTCGGGCAATTCTAAAATGGAGTAAAGCCTATTGAAAAAGAGCCACCATCAAGGGAAGCAGGAACCATCCCACCGTTCCACATCTTTCAAGCGCCGTATTTTCCCACTATAAAAGTAGAGGATTCAACGCATCTCCCAATAATAAAAAGAACGGAGAGGAAACACACGCCAACCGCAGACTTAGCCCGCTCTACCCTTCCAGCCTCTACTCCAACTAAGCCGTCGCACCGTCACACCCCGGGTAACTTGAGACCTGCTGATCTCGCCGCGCGTCCCCGCCCGACGCTGCCCGCCACGCCGCCGCCCGCGACCCTGCCGGCGCGCACGACCGTCGCCGGGCGCTGGCGACCGGCCGCCGGCCTCGGCCCGCGTCCTCGCGCGCCGTCCATTTGGCCGGCCGCGTCCGGGTAGCGGCGCGCTCACTTGCCTCGGCCGTCGGTCATTAGAGTAATTGTGTCTGTTTAGCGGCACATGGCGTCGGTGCCGCGGACGGGCCCCTCCCCGGCCCCGGCCGGCGGCGCCGAGCGACAGCGGTCGCGAGGGGCTTGGACGTGGATTGGCCCGCCTGGCGGCGAGGCATGTGCATAGGTGGCGGATTGCCTGGCGATTTGGCCATGCAAATGACGCAGTATCTCGCTGACCGCAATCAACTATTGGCCGGTCACAGACAGGACCATGGCCCGACAGCCTTACAGTAGCACGCTTACGCAACAATTTGACGCATTTTATAGCTCGGCACCGACTTGCACTTATTGTCTAAGGTTTTCAATTATTCACGGAGGGCATCGTTAAAGGATAACTCATACAGCGTGATGGGTGTACGCCGTGTAATTCGGGCAAAATTAGTCATGGTGTCTCGACAAATTGGCTGCAACACATTGTCGCTGGTCGTTTATGGTCAGGCTGCGGGTGGAAATCACCCTCAAGCGTGAAGGCTCGTCAAGTGACACGCGGGCGTGCCTGGGACAGTTTCCACAAATTTGAGCACGTTGGCATAAAGTTTGGAGAATTGGGTTTCAACGAAGACTTGCCTAAACCGTTACGGGTTCGAGGTAATGTTCACGAACGACGCGGAAGGTCTCAATGATCATTACCTAGACACCACAGTCCTCCGAATTTCCATGCACGCACGTAGCAGCAGGCGCCAATAGCGGCTCACGTGTGGCCGTTGGCTCATGTGTGGCCGTTGTGTGGCTTGGCGCATGTGTGGCCCCAACAGCGGCCCTAGACACGCTCGTGCTCAGTAAGGACTACAGCGAAAGCGGGGCGTGCGGAGAGTTCACCTGAAGCGGCCGAGGACTCGCATTCGTCCCTCCCCCGCGGTGGTCCGTAAGCCGCCACGACCAGGAAATCACCGCAATCGTGTTAGAAACCGCGCGAAGACCGCAGCTTGGCGCGCTCAGAGAGCGGCCGGCGCGGCGGTGACGAACTCGGCGCGCCGGCCCGGCCCGACCGGGCGGCCATTTTGTTGGGCTGGAGCGGTGCGTCAGGGCAGGGGAGCATGTTCCCTGCCGACGCTCCGCTGCCCCCCCCCCCCCCCCTCTCTCAGCGGCAGCAGTGACGCTTCGTGGGAACTGAGGGGGGAAAAGAAGCTCAGCTTTGGCTGATTTGCTGAATGATGTGCATGGTCTGGCACGATCGAAACAAGGCACCTAAAGTGCCTTACCATAGGCACTGACCGCATGTTGCGCGTAGTCTACATCTCACGTAATCATGTAGAGTTAGTGAGGCTCTGGCGGGGGTCAGTCACATCCAGGAGCGTGTGAAAGCTAAAATCCCTCCCGACGGTTGCCTTACGGATCATTGCGGGAGTTATACTGCTACCCTCGTGGAGTGAGCGTGCCATGCTTCTCCCCTCCCTGATCGGACCGTTGCGGATCTCTCGCTATGCAGCTGGAGGTGACTGCACTCCTCGAAAAGGATGTGGTCCGGAGGACATAACCGGAGCCGTGTGACACCGCTGACCCATGCTGAGGGGTGTGATGTCAAGTCGTCCCTTTAACAGACACGTTTCCGGAACTTGACCTGAACCAGGTTACTTGACGCAGCAAGATTCACCGAAAGAACCATCACAATGTCGCGAGAGATGACTCCTGTTTGGAAACTGCCATTCTTTTCAATTCCATTTCCACATGTAGGGCTGGGTATCAAAACGATCTCGAGCTGTATGCATTCCCGATGCATCTAGCTGGATCAGGCTCAATGACCTTTGCATTCAAGATCCATGTCCAGGGCATTGTTGTCCACAGGATTGAAAATCCTCTGGAAACCAGGGATACGTCTCATGAGAAGCATGTCAGTACAACCCTGCATGGGCCCGAGTTCCTTTTGCGAAACATTTTCGGCGAATATTTTAAGACTCAAGGTCCGGCTTTGATTATCAAGGGATCTCCGTGTAGAAATTGTACTGCCATGTTTTGGTCGATAATCACTTAGGGTCTGTCGTGATCTTTTGGAATCCAGCCACACACCTGTCAATATCTGGCGCGGCCGCTGTTACCAGCGGTGTAAGTTTCCAAAAAAAGAATCTAGGCTCCTTCAGTACATAATTTCAGATTCTTAGGCCCATCTTCCCATGACCTATCAAGCGCTGATTGATAAAATATGTAATAATTGGGCTTTGCCAACGTACTGGCCTATGAGAGCGCATACCTCAAGTGGCACCCGCTGCTGTCACGTCCCACCTGTTCAGCTGTGACTCCCCCTTCCCCTCCGTTGCGTTCCGTCCCACCGCGGAGCGTCACGACCTCTCGTGACCTTCTGCACCGGCTGACCACAACCTGACCGTGACCTCCGGCGTTGCAGGTGCGATCCCGCCGCAGCTGCGCGAGCTCTACAGCTCGCACGGCCTCTCGCAGATGTCGCAGATGTCGCAGATGTCGCAGATGTCCCAGATGTCGCCGGCCCGGCTGCTCGAGCTCGGCCGGTACGGCATGCGGCCCTACGACCTGGCGCAGCAGATGATCAGCCAGCAGACGGCCGTCACCAAGCTGCTCAGTGAGTCTCCAACTGCTCAGTGAGACTGAGCCCACTGAGCTCACTCTCTGATGCACGGGCCCGGCTCTGAGGCGGGCTCGGCGGGGCGGGAGCCTTGGCATGGAGCCACGTGAGGGCTCGGTGGGACTTTGTTCGGGCCCGGATCCGAACTAAGGACCAGTGTGTCGCCAGGACCATAGATGATCTCCTCGGATCCAGTGAAAGTGCGTGACGCCGATGCGTAGCGCAGCAGTCGCAGATACAACTTTCAATATCTTTGAGTGCGCAAGTTTGTTAACTTTTAACTGAACCTTTTTGTGTGCAAAGGATGAACTCAACGCCACGTTAGACACTGAGTTCTTTTCCAACGGTGTTCCGCTTCGGACAATGAGCTCTTTCACCCACGATGTTCAGGAAGCACCACCTGTAGCTTTTGCCTCAAAGCTACACGTTATGAAGCCGGTGTCAGAAACCGGCCGTGCCGCGGCTTTAGCCCAGTTCCGCCGGGCCCGCGCTGAATCAACAGGCTGTGTCGCTAAGCCAACAGTTCGACATGTCCGTTGTTTTAAGGCTCACCCCACTACTGCTCGCGGCTGATCCCCAAACTAGCAGGCGCCCTTCTTAGTACGAACTTCAGACCTTGTGCGCCCACCGTTATGACAAACCGTTAGTCCGACCCTGTCGCCACGACCCGTGGTGATTCCGCCCCTGCCGCACCTGCCGCTCCCTCCCCTTCCACCGCCACCCCTGCGAGTCCGACCTGCGCCGCCGGCGACCTTTACCGACCGCCACGACCCCTGCTGAGTCCGCCCCTGCCGCCGCGACCGTGCTGAGTCCGCCCCTGCGTCCGACCTGCGACCCCCTGCTGGCCCCTCTCTCCCGCCGCACCGCCGCGACCCGTGCTGATTCCGACCCTGCCGCCCGACCCCTGCTGAGTCCGCCGCTGCCACTCTCAGCTGTTCGCGCCGCGTTCAGCCGTCGACTCGGCGGTGTTTGCTCAGCCCAGTGAGGGCGGCATCCACGCATTGAGGCCGGCCGATGACGAGCTTGTTCAGGTGTGTGCCAAGCGGGCGGGGCACGCGAGCGTCGTCATGATCAAACCCCGTGGGGTGTCGGGAGCGCGGTTTGTCGGTCCGGACGGTGGCGGCGGTCCACCTGGCCGGCGCGTCGGCACTACAGTGCCTCTCAGAGGCGATGCCTCTCATTGGGCCCCGCCCGGCCCGGCCGTCACGAGTCTGCTGCGGAGACGCGTGACCGGGTCGAGCCCGCGCGCCGCCGTGACCCAGGGTCACCGCCACAGCACCGAAGCCCGGCGATCGCGCCCGGACCCCTCGCGACGTGCGTGACCCCCGGGCTGAAGCCCACGCGCCTAAACCGGTTTGACGCGGCGCCAAACACCCGGAATGAGAAGGCGAAACCGCCTAAGTAATTGACGCGGCCGGAGCCTGCGCGGCGCGGGGTTAATTAATTAGCGAGCCGAGCACCGCCGCCAGCCGATTGGAGTGCAGATAGGCCCGGTGGTGACATGTATGCCGGCGGCCGCGGGCGCCGCGGCCGCTCGGCCGTCGGCAATTGCGCTAAAGTACATGGCGTGCGTGCGTGACGCCCTGGGCGCTCGGATCGCCGATCGGCCGCCCGGGTCGAATTACATTATTTGCCGGCGGCCACGTGAGGCCCACACGGTACCGGCCACAGGTCGGGGTCATATCGCCGCAGGCTGGTGCCAATAGCGCCGGCCTGGCGATGGAGGGGGGGGGGGGGGGGAGGCGGCGGCGGAGGCGTAGGGTCGCTGCCGTAGGGGAGGGAATGCTGCGGGCGTCATTTTTGGCGTCATTCCCGGAATGTCGCCGTGGATGCGGACGTTAAGACGGCGGCGAACTCCTACAGCGGTATTGAGCTCGACGTACGCAGCTTTTGAGCAGGCGTGTTAACGTAATCCGACACGCAAAGCGCTGTATAACCACTCACCTTTGAGGGTAAGACGTTTGTAATTCGATAATGACAATCCCTGGATGTCATTTCCCATCACGCGCGGAGCGTAGGTGCGTACTTTGCGTTCACCAGAGCGCACCAGCGTCCTCAGCGTCCTGTGTGTCATGATTGATATTGAGAGACACTGCCGGTCACCTGCGTGAGCTGTGTGACGGGCCCGCTCTCCGCGGATGAATGGCGTGTGCCCATGCGGACTGTCGGTGACGTCTAATGGCGCCTGACGTTGCAGGCGGCTCGCTGCGTCCTCCGGGCGTCATCGGCGGCAGCAAGCCCAAGGTGGCCACGCCGCAGGTGGTCAACAAGATCGAACAGTACAAGCGCGAGAACCCCACCATCTTCGCCTGGGAGATCCGTGAGAAGCTGGTGGCCGACGGTGAGTGCTGCCGAGCCTGCGCTGGCCCTGCGGTGGGAGGGATTGCCGGAACGGGCTGCGATCTGAACACATCACCCCAAACGCAACGGCAAAGGCCGGCAACATCAACGTTTATGTTTGTTTTCATGCGCAAAGGAGTTGGGCCCCCAGCTTGCTTGGCAAGCAGCGTTGTTTGTTGTCGCTTGCTAGCAGGAGGGGCCTGCAGTTTGTTATTTTTGGGGCGAGCGACAGCGCTGTGTGTTTGATTGGGATGGCCGGGCCTCTCCTCCGAACACCCTCGGCACCAGGCCTCCAGCGGGGGGGGGGGGCTCCCCTCCGATCACGCTCGGCACCAGGCCTCCGGCGACAGGGCCTCCCCTTCGACCACCCCGGCACTAGGCCTCCAGCGAGGGGGCCTCGCCTCCGATTACCCCCGGTACTAGGCCTCCAGCGACAGGGCCTCTCCTCGGACACCCTCGGTACCAGGCCTCCGGCGACGGGGCCTCTCCTCGGACACCCTCGGCAGGAGGCCTCCGGCGACGGGGCCTCCCCTCCGATCACCCCCGGCACTAGGCCTCCAGCGACGGGGTCTCTTCTTCGATCACAATCGGCACCAGGCCTCCGGCGACGGGGCCTCTCCTCTGGACAACCTCGGCGCCAACCCTAGGGCGGCTTGGAGGGCCTCTCCTCGGCCAAGCCTGGCTTGAGCGGCCAGGTGCCTATCATGAGCGTCAGCTGCCCACCGCACCATCAGCTGCTCACACCAGTATCCCGGCCACCGTCGCCGCGGGTCGATGCGGGCCATTGCAGCGTCGCCGCCGTTGCGACACGCCGGGGCCGCGGCGGCCTTTGATTGGCCGGCGGCCGCCTCTGTTGGGCCGCGCGGCGGCTCACGTGGCGAAACGTGGCGCGTCTGGGACATTGGGCGGCGCGCTCCGTGCATTATACGCCCTGCCGCTGAGAGAAGCCGTCTGGCGAAACGAGCCGATACACAATGGCTTTATAAACAACGGGAGAATGACGAAACGCGGCCGCGCCCTGCATCGTGATATGCTGTTGTGAATCGCGCGGGCCGAAGTTGGCTACTGCCGCCGGCTCAGCCTGTAAATCATGAGCCCTGTTGTTTTTTAACGCGGTTGTTACACCGCCGCTCACGAACCCCAGTTGCGGCACATCGTTTCGTTGACTTCTTCTCACTCTGGTATGGGGTTACGAGCAAAGAGGGAATGCCTCCGGAAAGCTGCTGTGAACGGGTGAACGAGAGTCGGTGCACCCATTGATCGTGATCTCCTCCAAAATGATCTCCAAGCCTCAGCGCTGCAAACGTCTGTCCTTGTACTATTCAGTTGCATATCTGGCATAGCAAGCGCAAGTGAAACGGACTGCACAATGATGCGATTCTCAGGGCGAAATCCATCGCCGTTTTGGGTCACATCACTGCCTTTTTGGACTGGGTCTCGCTTACGACATATGTGAGTTACGCTCCTCTGTTTCGGGACGACGCATTTGTTAACTTATCCAATCAGTCCATTTATTCTGTTCAACTGGTAAGACCAACGGCGAGGAGCTTGCATAGGGCTGGGATCTTGACAAGCCGACGCTGGTGTCATGAGAAGCTCCTTCACATCGAGCGCTTCCGAAAAGCCCACTCTCCGTCCATCCAAACAAAATCACATCACCCTTTCCCCACCCCCGCAACATTCCGGTGTCGCACCACCCACACGGGACCGGACTGCAACAACCCGTCCTCTCGAAACCAAACCACATGATCACCCCGACACCGGTCCAGCGGCGCTAGGATCACGCGACCTCCCCTCCCCTCTCGGGCACCGCAGCTGCGCTCGGCGGCGCTCGGCGGCGCTCAGCGGCGGCGGCGGCGACCACTCGAGTCGACTCCACATTCCAGCGGCGGCGGCGGCGGCCGGGCCGGGGTGTGAGCCGATCGGCCGCGTCACGGGCCCACAATGGGCTGGCATGGGCGCCGCCGCGCGCCGCACCGAGCCGGTCACGGCCGAGCGCCGGCCCGCGCCCGATGGCGGCCAATCGGACCGCGCCGGCGCGCCGCCGACCGCGCCCGGGCCGCGCCGCCAGACGCCGCGATCGGGCTCGAG